ATTTTAATTTTATTTTAATTTTATTTTAATTTTATTTTAATTTTATTTTAATTTTATTTTAATTTTATTTTAATTTTATTTTAATTTTATTTTAATTTTATTTTAATTTTATTTTAATTTTATTTTAATTTTATTTTAATTTTATTTTAATTTTATTTTAATTTTATTTTAATTTTATTTTAATTTTATTTTAATTTTATTTTAATTTTATTTTAATTTTATTTTAATTTTATTTTAATTTTATTTTAATTTTATTTTAATTTTATTTTAATTTTATTTTAATTTTATTTTAATTTTATTTTAATTTTATTTTAATTTTATTTTAATTTTATTTTAATTTTATTTTAATTTTATTTTAATTTTATTTTAATTTTATTTTAATTTTATTTTAATTTTATTTTAATTTTATTTTAATTTTATTTTAATTTTATTTTATTTTAATTTTATTTTAATTTTATTTTAATTTTATTTTAATTGTATTTTAATTTTATTTTAATTTTATTTTAATTTTATTTTAATTTTATTTTAATTTTATTTTAATTTTATTTTAATTTTATTTCTATTTTTATTTTATTTTAATTTTATTTAAATTTTATTTTAATTTTATTTTAATTTTATTTTAATTTTATTTTAATTTTATTTTAATTTTATTTTAATTTTATTTTAATTTTATTTTAATTTTATTTTAATTTTATTTTAATTTTATTTTAATTTTATTTTAATTTTATTTTAATTTTATTTTAATTTTATTTTTATTTTAATTTTATTTTAATTTTATTTTAATTTTAATTTTATTTTAATTTTTTATAGAATTTATTTGGAATTATGCAAAATTGTGGCAAAAAAAATGCTTAAATAAACAAACTTATAAAAATTACCTTATAGTTTAATTTTCAACAAATCATCATAGGAAAATTGAACAAATATTAAATACCTTGAAGACAATAACTTATAAGCTACCCTACTACACCTACTAATCTCAAAACTGTTGTCAAACAAAATTTTACAAAATCCTAAACTTGATTGCTTAGGCTAGACTATAAATTTAGTCTGACATGGTAAAATTATTAACAACTAAACTATAACTATAAATATAACTGTTCCAACTTTCAACAACAAAAAAAAACTTGTGATTAAATTTCTATTATTCCTTTTTGAAAGTCATTAATGGCACAAATTAAAATGTTCATAAATACCGGTCTGGGTATCTCCACTTTCCAGTTTATCTTCCTCTTGGACTCCCGGTCTTATCCGTCTACCACCTTTTGCATGTACTCTCCTTTTTTTTTATATCTTTATGATCTTATAATCTTTTAGCACAGTAGCTTAACAGTTTGCTTATTTATTTTTATAATACTAATAATACTATCTCTTCTATTTAGAAAACTATTACTCCTCTAAAATTACTGACATTTTCTTTTTCAAATTTCAAAATTGACAACCCCATTTTTTTTTTAAAATCAATCTCCCATTTTTTTAAAGCCCATTTCAAAAAAAATTACTCTATAGGGTGTTCTACATAATTCCAATATATTTCATGTGCAAAATATACTTTGTTAATTTCTCATGACAAAATTACACCACAACAATATATATATATATATATATTTTTTATTTTTACCATTATTTGGGACACCCGTGCGACAAGTGAATATTTTTGATTCATATCCAGGATATTTTATTTCATCCCTCAGTGGGAAACCGTTGGCAATTTTTTATTTGAGGCTGGATATAGGCTAGACTCTGAGTGTTCTTATTTTCGACGTCTATATCCAATCTCTCTTAAGCGCCCAGTTAACATTGAAGTGAGAGGTTCAACCTGTTTTCAATTTTTTTTTATTTTTATTACTTTTGGAAAAACCGGTTTGTTCTTTTCTTTTTCGGAGATTCGATCCGTCCCCGGGTTAAAAGTGATCTCTGTCCTGCCAGCGTTATCTAATTTCCCAAAAAGACGTCTAAATTAATTTTCGCGCCTCACTTCATGTAAGTTTCTTTTCTTTTATTTATTCATTCAGTTGTATTTGAATCATTCCATTCTTCGTCTACAACTAATTATTAAACAAAGTCAGACGTTTCCTATAAAATTAATTGACACACCGTCTTGATCAACTTTGGGCAAATCTCAAAATAATCTTTTCTATCGCCTTCGCTGTCCAAACACCGCGTAAATCATCATTCTCAACAATAGTATATTTGTAAAATATGGGAGAGGAAAATACCCAGATGTCACCTACTCGACAAATTCCCTTACGCAATTATCACAATCCGGAATAGCACTGTTCCTTTATGCGTTTAGCGGTTGTGATACAACATCAGCACCTAGTAGCCCTGGAAAACAAAAATTTATATCGACATTAAAAAAACAGCCACGCCTCGAACAAAACGCAGAGGTATTTTTTAAGCTTCAATGCCGCACCTGAGCAAGATGCCGACACAGGAGAGACCTTTCTCGTTTCACTTTATGGAGGCAACAGATAATCGCAAAATTTTAGCGATCTTTGCTTCCAGTTGTTCACTAGGGCGGCAGTTAAGCCAAATAAGAACCTCGCCAACCATGGATGCTGCAAGATTTTACTCTCTGCGATCATACCACCAGGTGAGGATAAGTTTTTTGCTTGTATTCCTTTCTGCTTTAGACCACATTCTTTATACATGGTTCCTTATTTTATTTTGTTGTTGATTTTGTTTCAGGTACAGAAGTGGCTGGGAAATGAGAAGAATCCTCACGATTGGGGCTGCATTCAGGGTACACAAGGCCTCTTTCCTTAACAGATCTGCATCTGTATATGTAACTTGTGGAGGGTGGGTTACCCCTCCCCCTCGGCACTTAGGCCTCACTAGTCCCATTGTGCATCCTCCTAAGATGATGGGGACCTCCTAGTTCGTGAGCCAGCCTACATATTTAATATAGTTGACAACGTCGCCAAGAGGTGCTTCTCTTATATCGGCCGGTGTTAGCCGATACTCACCGAAAACAAATTTTCTAATAAATGAGAGCGTCGAGCAATCATAAAGGATATGCTCGATGATGGCACCACCAGATCCTCAAGCTCTGCTAAATATAATTTTCTGTAACTGCAAAAAAGGTTGTATCAGTAGTTGTGGTTGCGGAAAAGCAGGATTGAAATGCTCGGCTGTTTGCAGCTACTGCACTGGCCAATCTTGCTGTACACATTAATGTTTTATTTATTAAAATGTTTATTTTAATAACTTATAATGCTTATTTCACTAACAGGGCGTACTTCATTTTGCAAGCCCTTCTAGTACATAATTGTTTACTTACCTCAACAACTTTAAACAGCTTTGTCTCAGGAACTATCAGGTGTAAGTTGACAAAGTTGGTCTCATTTTGTTTGGAATTTAGTGTACTTTAATTAACTGAAAATAACTTTTCTTAAAAACCCACTCCTAAGGGGTAAAAATCACATACTTTGATTACTATACGGTGCAAGAGAGAGGACCGACACGCCCAACATAGGGCGCGGCAATTTTAATTCATACGCCACAGTTTATAGCTAAAGAATCAGATCGCTCACTCTGCGTCGGTACTTTTGATCTCAATGTTCCAGTTTATACACTGCGCAACTCGGATAATACAATATATGACAACCGCCTACAATAAAGCAGCATTCTTTTGCGTATCCTGAATTTGTATCCCTGGAGTGGATGTTATTTTGGAACTTTCAACTGGTCCAAGTGAGCTAACTGATTCTTTAGCAATAAACTGAGACTCCAAAAACAATATTCACTGACACTGACAGCAGCAAGCAAAATATTAGGTGCGTTTTAATCATCCGCTTCTGCTTACGGAATTGTCGGTTTAGTCGTTTTAACCTGTCATATTAAAACAAGAAAACCGACAATTCCGAAGCAGAAGCGGATGATTAAAACGCACCTATTAAAAATATTGCGCCAAGATGTAGGCAATACGTAATAAGGGATCAAAATTGCGGAGTTTTCTATCTCCTTTTAAAAGGCACTCAGAAACCTGCGCAGTGCGACCATTCTCCGTATAGTAAAAGAAAATCAAAGTATGTGGGTAAAAATTGTCGAAAATTAAAAAAAGGTAATACTTTTGCAAACTTTTAAATAGCCGTATCTTGTAAACTATTAGGCCTACCAAAACCAAATTATTCTTGTTTCATTGCAAATTTAGTCTACTTAAAAAGTGTGCATCGTAACTTTTGCCGTAACACAGGTCCTTGGTGGAAAAAATTGACAAAAACTGGAAAAGGTCCAAAAATTTAAAGAATTTTTTATTATTTAACAATGATCCGAAGAGCTTTTGAGGTGGAAAATATGGATTTGTCATTACCATCTTATCAATACCAACATATAAAAAAATCAAAACTACCTCATTTGATGTAAGGCAAAAAGTACCAATTCCATGGACTAATAGCGGTATCTAGACTTTCTGAGAGCTACGATACAGCTAGCGGATGATGGCACTATGTTACGGCAACATAATTGGTTCTCTTATTCCCATTTAAAGATGGAATGATTTAAGCCTTGGCTTCACAACAAATACACTTTTATCAATGACTAGTTGGGGCTGCGGTCTCTACCATTTTTGCCTGATTTTGCCATCTCTACCTGTCATCTTGACTCTACAGTTCTTTGCTATTTGTGTGTAGCATGTTCCCCCGTTCTTTTGTTAGTTTAAATAAAATTTGCTTTTAACCTTTTTTTTACAATGTTCTTTATTTAAATCAAATATTAAAATTCTTCTACAATATTAGAATTCCATCTGTATATTTTAGCTTTTAAATCCAACATTCAAAATATATCCCCTCGTTATTATTCGCTCTGGCAATTTCTTTCTTTTTCATCAATCCATAATATCCCTCCCAACTACTATTACATTAATAAAATGTTCTATACCTTACCCCGATATTGCTATTTCCAATTTGAATTTTACGACGTCATCCTCCAGAAATGTCCATATCCATATATAGATAAAATAATTATAAAACACACATAATAACAATTTTTTTATTTTAGGCTATATAATAAACATTTTACAATTTTCTATTACATTTTTTATGATGTCAGTTTGTTCTGCTCAATTAAGGGCCGATTTCATAATGATTAATAGAAGATCCATTAAGTAATGGGAAAAGATCTTGTGGACTTAATTATCCCATTAGTTATTGGATCTTTTAATATTCATTATGAAATCGACCCTAAGTATGTAAATGATGGTTTATTAAATGGAATTAATACAAAAATATTTTGTTCTTCGGTAAATATAAATATCACATACAAGATAATAGAGCGTTTATAATTATTATATTAAAATCCAATCAAAAAGTTTATTAGAAGTAACCACGAAGTTCAATGATATTTTAATTAAATTTTGGTATATATTTTAGACAATTAAAGCAATTACCTAATAATTATGAACAATGACTAAATTTTAATTAATATACTAAACAAAAAAAAATTAAATTAAATTACTTTTATTTATTTTGTCTACTGAATAATACACATCTTATTTTTACAATCCTCTGCTCTATTCTTAAGTAAAGCTGCAGAAATCATTTTGACTAACTGATTAAATACATTTGTTTAGGCACAATATAAAATAAATAAAACCAGTTAATTTAAAAGCCTTTGAAGATACTGTCCAATCAACTTTAAGTATTAACTTGTAAAACCGATGTATTTGGTGTTATTAATACTACATTACTTTGAGTTATTAGAGTTCCAGTACTTTGATCACATATTGAAATTTTTCTTTGGGCTATGTTGGATTTTAATCCCTTTTTTAAATTCTGAAATAAAAATACATAGACTCGATTAAAACAATAAACATCTAAAAAATAAAAAAATGTTTAAAAAATGCAGATATGAGAATATGTTGAACAATCACAAAATTACAATAAAGGTCGGAATGTTCTTTGAATTTCTGGACGAATTTACGTCAAATTAGATTCCATGCAGAAGGTGCAGACGCAGGTATCTACTAGCTTTAACAACTGTAGCATCGAGGTATTGATGGGGATTGTTAACGGATTTGCAACTGAAGTGCATAAATATAACTACATATAGAGCATTCAATATAAAAACCGATGCACGTCAGAGATGATGTCAGTGACAGTCATTGGTACCACATACACTAATAAAAATAATTAAATTTTATTTTGCAAATAAATGAATAAATTTAGACGCATGGAGTTCATTTTTTTAAAATTGCATAATAAAAATGTATTTTTTATCATATCACAGTAGTAAATGTACTGTAGGCAGATTATTAACGGAATACTTTCTAGAGAATTTCATAATAAAAGTTGGCATCAAATGTGTCAGCTTTCAATTTTAATACATTGTTGTCAATTGTTATTTGTTTTGTATTATTTTGCACCGATCGATTTCTTTTCAACAAATTATTTATATTTTAGATTAAATTATTATTAACAAACTGTTCTTTTCATAACAAATTTATTAGGAATTTAAAAGTGGTGTTCGTTTATTGTGTATTTTTTTATTGAAAAATGACAAAACAATTAAATAGTCGCTGCAAGGAGCTAGTGGCTTCTATTAGCTTTAACAGCTGTGAGAGAAGTGAGGTGATTAATAATGTATCACCGTCAAATTAATATAATTATTTTGTTTCAGCGTGTCGCAGAAGCACTTATTCTCAATTTTTCTACTGTTCTATTTCACAAGCTGTAAAGAACAGTGAAGTTCTAAAGTCACCACCAAAAAAGCGCCCTAGGCAAAAGAAAGTTATCAACACAAGAATTCTGAATACTAGTGCTATTCGAAATGTTATTTATAGCATATACGAGTCTAGTAAGTGTATATGTATATAAATTATTATTAAACAATTACAAATTAATGTATGATTTCAGAAGAGCATGTAAGTTTAGATTCTTTGCTGGTGAAACTTAATGAGAAGGAATTGTTCAATGTATGTCGCACATCATTGCATACCTTATTATTAGAAATAGGTTTTAAATGGCAGAAAGATGAACCAAGGCGAGGTCTTATGGAACTTCCAGATATTGCTGTTAAACGGGCAGAATTTTTAAGAAAATATACCAAAGAAAAGGAAACAAATTTGTACCAGTTAGTTTTTATTGATGAGACTTGGATTTTCCAAAATGGCACCTTAAACAGTTCTTGGCAAGACAGTAATAAAAGAAGTGTAAAAAGTACATAAGTTGATGGTAAAAGGTTAGTAAAAAAAATATATAATTCTTCATGGTGGAAACGAAAATGGATTTATTGATGGTACCGAGGCCAAATTTGTTTCAAAAAGCAATAATTATGATTATCACGGTGAGATGAATAATGAAAATTTTTTAAAATGGTTCGAAGAACAATTGCTTCGAAAACTGCATGAACCATCTTTAATTGTAATGGACAATGCTTCAATACCATAGCACATTGGCACACCAAACACCGAATAGTAATTCGACTAAGGATTAAATTCAAGAGTGGTTGACGAATCAGAACATATCTTATTCAGTCACCATGTTTAAGGCTGAACTTTTGAACCTTCTTAGACGGTGAGTAATGGAATCTACTTTTTCTGTATTTTTAAATGATTTTATTTTTTTAGTAATAGATCACCAAAAATATATGTAGCTGATATGCTGGCTAAACAGTATGGACATAAGGTGTTACGTTTTCCTCCTTACCATTGTATTTTTAATCCAATAGAACTGATTTGGGGTATTTCAAAACAATATTATAACAGGCACATTGGTCGGGATGGAAAGAAACAAAGAGATTGTATAGACATGTGGTCTGAAGCACTCCAAACCATTACCCCACAAATGTGGTAAACAGTGTAATACACGCTGAAAAAGAAATTTTTAAATGGTGTAAAAGAGAGCATATACTGGACCGATTGGAAATTGCTCCCATTATTATAACACCAAATAGAGATGGTTCTGTTTTTAGTTCTGGTTATTCTAACTGATTTTAGCTTAAATATTATTTAAGTTTTAAAATGTCATGTGTTGTTAATTTTATTACCTAACTGTTCTAATTATTGTTACTTCTTTTAAATATGGATGTTCATAAACTAACTGAACATAATTATTTTTCATTGTAAATTAAATCAAGCCTAAATAAAATTTGTTTTTTTTTTCATCCTTAACCTAACCTTTTTTTTGTCATTTTAAACCTCTTGAGCAAAATTTATTACTATTAAATTCAGTGTTTTTCTAAAACTTCAATTTAAACATTATCAATGACCTTCATTGGCTTTTATATATAATTCATTATACATTTAAAATTAATTGTTCCTAATAACATGGCCAAAAAAACATAACTTCATAGTTTTAAAAATTCCTACATTCTTAGACTGTTTGCTGTTTTTGATGAGAAATATTGTTGTGCTATATTTGGAACACTATACATATTCGCCAAAACTCTCGTGGACATATATGGCACAATATGCATTCCGAAAATTTCGCTTTCGTTTATTTTAGAAAATGGATCCAAAAATGTTTTAGGGCGCTAGCAGATATGTGTCTATGGATGTAACAGATAATAGTGAGGATGAGAGACTTTCAGAAGATGGGGAACCGGCTGTTATAGTAGCACCAGAGTCTGACTATAAAGACGAAAATTATATGGACGATAACCAATCAGATATTATCATCCCAGAAACGAATTTAGAAGGCAGTTCCGATAGCAACGACGATCTAGGTCTGCTCGAACGGTTGCGTAAACTAAAGAAGAATAAAAATAAGAATCAGCCTATTTGGAAACGGGGCAATTTAGTCACATCGGATGAGGACCTAAAATTTCTTGGTTCTACTTACATGCCACTTGAATTAGAAAAAACGCATTTTTTAACTTTTTTCTAACAAAGGAGATGATCACCGATATAGTTTACCAAGGTATATTATATTCAACTCATACAAGACCACAAAAACCTTTGGATCTTACTGAAAAGGAAATCGAACAATTTATAGGGACCTGAATTTATATGTCAATAGTGCAATTACCGAGTTCTAGAAGTTATTGGAGCCTGAACCTAAATCATAGTTTGATCTCAAATGTTATGTTATGCAACAGAGGGGAGGAAGAGTTCCAAAAGAAGAGTATTTGGCTATAGACGTGCATATTATTCCTACAAAAGCATGTTTATCCATAAAAAAATATAATCCCAAAAAATCTCACAAATGGGGATATAACACGTTTGTTCTTAGTGGTGTCAGCAGTTGTTCATACGATTATGAAATTTTCGCAGGAAAACAAACCAATATTCTCCCCAATGGTTTTCCTAATTTGAGAATAAGTTCAAACATAGTTCTTCGGCTAACACAAACTGTTCCAAGGCACGTAAATCACAAACTGTTTTTTGATAACTGGTTCAACAGCATCCCACTACCAATTTACTTGGCACAAAATGGCATGTTACCACTCGGAACGGTTAGAATAAACAGAGTGCCCAACAGCAATATGCCAAAAGAGAGTGAACTGAAAAAGGATGACCGTGAAGGGATCTAGGACTGTTTTTCGAATGACAATTTTTCGAACGACAGTTTTTCGAAGGACAGTTTTTCGAATGGACAGTTATTCGAACGGATGGTTCTTCGAACGGCCAGTTTTTCGAAGAGCCCATTGTTCGAACAGACCATTTTTCGAAAATACATTATTGAGGAATGATAAAGTGTAGGTAATTTAAACAAAAAACATTCGGTGTCGCACCTGAATTTCAATTTAGATAATTTATTTTTTTTATTTAATTTTTTGATAACCTGACACAGGTGCGACACTAAAACGTCAAAAATAAAAAACGTTTTGTATAAAAATAATGATTTTATTCCAATTAATTCTTTTTAATACATGACTTATTTATAATACACTATATAACAAAAGAAACGAGGAACTTATTTATAAGACAAATTACAAGCTATACGATTTAAGTATTCTATAGGGTCTTTAGGAGAAAACTGAGTGGTAATATTTTGTAATCTAATATTTAATTGTAAGTACTTCGTTTTCTTCGGCACAGCGCGTGTTCCACAGTAAAATTGAGAAATTCTCATTTCAGTTAAGGATTGTTCGCGTTGAATCGCGGTAATAAACTTCCATATTGTGGGATGGATAGCCGAAAGTTGGCTTTCGAAGGCAAGATGCCAACCTTTAATGTGGTTGTTAGTCTTGGGTTGACTGTTTAAAACATTATTAAACAGTTCCACATTTCCCAATCAAACAACGGTGACCTTCGACGACCGCGACGAATCATCCCAATCCATGTTTCCTCAAAGTAGTCCAGAACCTCGGTAGCTTCTTCTGGAAAATCATCGCTTAATGCATTAAAAAATGGCTGTATGTATTTTGTAGGTACGAAAGCTAATGCAGCTAAAATCTTCATGTGCTGTGCAAAGTTTTTGTCGGTGTCATATCGCTGTTTAAAGCCAGCTGTTTGAATTTTTCTGTAAATTGCCTGTGAAAAGTGGAAGAAACATCCTTGTACAGTTGCATCGCTGCTTCAAAATCTATTAGAACCGATTGCGGTCTGAGAGCTGGTGCTAGATCTTTAAGGGCCGAAATTAACTTTATGTAAGTGTCTTTTGATTTATCAGGTAGAAGTGCATATACCAGTGGTACGGATTCCTCGTTTATAAATGTATGTATGGTGTAGAGCTGGTAAAAAAGCATAGGTGCAGTCTTAAAAGTTCCATCCATGTATATGTATTCAGCTTTTTGTAGATAATCCAGGTTGTCTTTCGTGCTGAAAATCTGAATTCTTTGTTTAATGTTTCCAGAATCGAAAAGTAGAAATGGTTCGCCTTTTGTGGTGGTTTTAAAAGAATCAGGTAGATACAACTCCTCTAGACTTTTCGGCTGTGTGGGTTCCATGTTTTCTTTCACTCTTTCCCTGCGTATTGTTCGCTTTAAACTATTTACTTTACTTAGTTTGGCTGCTGTTAGTTTGTCCACTTCACTTGATAGTGCCGATACTAGGTAGTGTGGAGTGTTTCTTGTTGTCCGAGCATTGTCCTTCAGTTTATTCTTAAAATGTATGGCATCTACTTCTGCTGCGTCCGCGGGGTGGTTGTGAGAAGTCTCTTTGCAAACATCATCATGGCTTGTAATTGCTCGCGATTTACATTTCTTAGACAAAAAGAACTCGCACTTCCAATATGTTTTTTCATCAACGGCTTTGTCTTTAACGAATAAAAATCCGTTCAAAAATAACTTTTTTTTTCCTTTTTCACTAAAAAGGAATTCGAGAGGCATCTTTATAAACACTAAAATCAGACTGAATACAATGTCAAAATGTCATAATAATGTCATAATAATTACCTGCTTATTTATTAGAGGGATGGCATTTAATCTGAACCATAAAACCCTTATTTAAAAGATTACAATTTCTCAAAACTAAACTTATTATGTATTATAATACTAATTAAAATTAAATTACATAAAATAGAACCTTACTTAGAAGATTACCTGTTCTCAAAATTCAATGGGATTATAATACTAATTAAAATTAAATTAGATAAAATAAAACCTTACTTAGAAGATTACCTGTTCTCAAAATTCAATGGGATTATAATACTAATTAAAATTAAATTATATAAAATAAAACCAACTTATTTCGAAAAATTGTCTATTCGAAGAATCGTACATTCGAAAAATTATCAGTTCGAAGAATTCTTTTCGAATAACTGTCCATTCGAATAAATGTCGTTCGAAGAACTGTCGTTCGAATATTTATCATTCGAAAAACTGTCCATGAAGCGATGCTGGAGAAATTCGCCACAATTAATGGCACAACAATATCTGTTGTTTCATGGTATGACAACATATGCTGGATTTTCAAATAAGGCGAACAAACATATAATAGTTTCGTGTCCAAAGGCTATAACAATTTACAACAAACATATGGGAAGAGTAGATCTTCTGGATTCCATGCTAGGATACTATAGGATCAAACTTTGATCAACAAAATGGTACATGAGGATATTTTTTCATATGATTGATTAGATGGTTGTCCATACATGGATACTTTGGAGAAGAAGTGAAAATGAGTTCAAAAATTTACCTCTGGCAGATTTCAAAATGGAAGTGGCAGAGTGTTTGTGTAAATTTAATAAAGCCAGCTCAACAAAGAAAAGAGGCCGTCCCAGTGGAGTCATAGATAATTTGCAAAACATGAAAAAAAGGGGCCTGATATCAGATTTTTCCATACAAGAGGTTCGAAAAGATCAATATGGCCATCTTCCAGTATGGTGTGATAATCGGCAAAGGTGCAAATCTTCCTGCGGTGGAAAGTCTTTTATCAAGTGTGAAAAATGTGGTGTTTATCTTTGCTTGAACAGAGTTTTATACTGTATAACTTTTGGTGTATTATTGTATATTGTGCCATATATGACCTATAAAAAAAAAAAAAATAAAAAGTTAATAAAGAATTTTTTAAATATTTTTACCGTAATCCTAATTTTTTTCCATATAGTGCATTTTTTCCATAAAAAACAAAAAAAAAATCATGCGGTTAGGGTATATACATTTTCCACATACATCTAACTCGAAACTTTTTTTTAGATATTCATTGAAAACGAAAATACTGAAAAATTTAAATTTAGTACTTTTCCTCCATTTTTTTATTACGGTCCATTTTAGAAAAATCATGTAAAAAACAAAAATTATAGAGATCAATATCGCAAACAACTTTTAGTTTAACAATTTTTTTAAAAATTAGAATTTTGCACCTTTTGTCAAATTTTTCGAATACGGACCATTTCAGGAAAATTTGGCATAAAGCAAAAATTATAGATAATATATTAGAAGTAACTTTTATTTTTACAATTTTCTTCTCCAAACATAAATAACAGAAATATTCCATAAAATATAAAAACGACCTCCTATAAAGTACCTCCCAGATGTCCCGACTGTGTCTAAAATCTAATCATTTCATCTCAGGCCGAAATAAAACTTAAGTTTAAAATTTAATGTTTTTTTCCTTTATTCGTTTTTGAGTTTTCTTCAAAATTCGTAATTTACACATTTTCTCAAATATCTCGAATAATATAACTATTTCGACTGGCCACCTTTATATCTGATACATTTATTTATTCCTTGTATCTTATTTATCATACAATCTATTTTAATTTATTCGAAATACATACATTATTAGTTTATGTTTGGCCTGGAACACTGTTGCGTATTCTCCTAGACTCAGAAAATCGTTGCACACAATGTTTTGTTACTGGGGTAGAATTCTCGAGTCTCGCATGAAAATTGTCGCTTACGACAAATATCGGATACCAAATTCGCATGGTTGTTAAAAATCGTATTCTCGAAAATAAGTGAATCTAAAATCACAAGCGAGAAATAATGCGAAGGATTGTATGTGGCAACGTAGGAAATTAGGTCAACTGTCAACATTAGAAGGTGTTCTGTGTTCTGTTTATTTATTAGAACCCCTCTATGCTAAGAAGTTTAGACAATTTTTAAGCAAATTGCAGATTTTTTTCTCCCAATATTGCAATGCAAATAAGAAAACGAAATACCTTTTAAAATATGTCACAAAACCATCCTGCTTATACTCTTCTTGAAGGCGTTATAACATGCTAGTTACAATATATATCAAGAGTCGCGTTGAATCCTTAGAAAGTCAAACATGCTTGATAAATAACACATTATTGTTAATTTCAAAGGGATTTTTATAAATAAACTTCTTCCTTCTATGCTGTCACTCTATAATAATGTTTTGATTTTCAACAGCCACCAAATGTTAATTTCATCAAAATCTGCCTCATCCCTGTTTACGGTCCACAAAACTCGCATACGAATTTAAATTCGAACTCTTTAGACCACTCGTGTTGAATTCACCTGACATTTGTCGTATAATGTTTTCGAGAATACACTTTTATAAAATCACCCAGTTGCTATTCGATATTTCACTAATCTCGCATGCGAATCGAGGTATTCGACATTTAAGAATACTACCCCTGGTATACAAACATATTAATATAATAGACATAATTATTTTAACAAAAAAAATTACCTGTACTATGCTATCAGGTTGAGTTAAGAGGTAGTAGATTGCGTAAACTGGAATCCACAGCATCGATGACAAACTAATTAGTAATCCAAGAATATCAGCCCATAATGGATACTTATAACTACCATATTCCAGTCGTTGATATTCGAAACATTGGCTAACAAATATCACCTAAAATATTTAAAAATAATTTGGTATGCCATAAAATAGAATTTTTGCAATTTTAAAACTTACAGCCATAACTAATGGCGCAATATATTTCCAACAAATGGTCCAAAATTTGCCAGGTCGCATAGCCATCATTGTTTCAATACAGTCACTTAATTTATCCACTCCAAAAAACCAAGAAATTGCAATTGTTTGGAAGAAACATACCCAAAGCAACGACATTCCACTTGCAGAATAATTGTCCATCAGTTTAAAAATGAACATTCCACCCTGTAAAGAAAATTCTTAATATTATCTATTTTATTTTTATAAAATATTTACAAAAATACATTCAGTTGTATCAATGAAAGGTAAAGTAATTACAATTTTATTAAATCACTCCACGTCAATTGTGCTACTTAGTCGAGGAATAAATCGAAGGGCAAATGTCCCTTACCCATAGGGCCTCAGTATTGTATCCGTGACGACCAAAAAAATTTCTATGCCCTTCTTTTTAACAATTTTCTCTCCGTTTTTAACCAATCTAAGTTTAAAAATGTAAAAAGATATAGTCTCGTCGTCTGTGCATATGTTTGTATGTGCGCCAACACGATAACCGATCAATTTGTGGTTTTGATTTTATTTTATTTCTTTTAGATAAGAACAATAGTACTTTAATTATTATCAATGTTTCTAAAAGCTTGCAATACACTGTCCCAAAAAGTATACAAACAAGAAAAAGTTTATATTATTGTCAACAATACCTATCCCTGTTTTGCTTGATTACGACACATTTTAAACTACGTGAGTGGTTTTATTTTTACGAATCTACAACAGTTTTCCTCAGTGAAAATCCACGGAAATGCCACGTTTTCAACTACGTTCATAATGTTATGTATTACAATGACCACATACTTATTTTGCTGTTTAATTAAAAGATCATTTGATAATAAACACCAAACAAGGCTTGACTGTCATCCGGCGATGGACAAGTTCACTGACTTACCATGAAATATCCATTACGGATTAGCTACATAGGTTAACATAAAAAGTATCAGTATGGTTACTATGTCTACATAGACCTAGATCCTACCTGCAGATTTGTGACAATTTCTTATGGCTAAATTTCTTAAAGTATGCTATGATACGTGTTCAACGAAATCACAAAAGCACGAGGTTTAGACCGGGGCGCTTAGGTAGCTATAGGCATTACAAGTGGTATGTGCCTCCTAAAAACTTACATTTAGGTGTGCCTAAAGATGAAGTAACTTACTTCGTAGCCAGTAGCTTATTAAATGACATTGTGAAGGATATTTTACTTTTTTTTTTCTACATTCGTACTCATTCCCTATCGTTCGCCCTTAATAAGAATTTTATAATATCAGTTACTTCAACTATAATTGAGGACAAATGAATTATTTATCGAAAAAAAAAAAATATTAGATATCCTGAATACAGAACGTAAGAAAGGACAGTATTTAGAAGGCACAGCTTTCATCGCCTATACATACGCAGACAGTGTTAGTCAGTAATTATGTTGTACAAGTTAGTTAATAATTTGGTAGATGACATTCAATTTGTTACCAACATATCATTTAATGTTCCTAGGATTACATCTCGAGGCAACATTACCTTTCATCCAGGGGCGGTTTCTCCATTGGTTCATTTGTGCAGTGAACACCCAGTTAAATTTCATTAAAATACATTATTTTAAAATTACATAAATAACATAAAAATATAAATTTAATTTTAATATTTTTATTTTCATACATGTTAATCTATATTTTTTATTACATTATTGTCCTCTGGCTAATCGCGTCTTTGTTGCACAGTATACCTAAGTATACTGTGTCTGTGGAGCATTATGATGAGTAAGATTAACACGAGTGAGACGACATGATGAATGCATATAGCTAAAAAGAGAAGACAACACGCCAACAGACCCTTTAAACTGTCAAAGAACACATGGCGCGCCGCTTACAAACAAGATTGCCAAACCAGTGTTGCCAGTCTAGTACAATTCACAATTGTACTAGATGTAGTACATTCTGCGTGCATCAGTGTTCACGTGTAAAATATATATATTGTGTTCTTTGTTTGGGTTCGTTATCAATAAAGACCCCCTTTTTTCCCCTTTAATGAATTAGATGTCACTGCAAATAGAATTCGAAAAATGTGATACATTTAAGGAATCTGGTACATAACAAAAACATATTCTGGCAACATTGTACCAAATCAAACAAACTGTCATTCCGTCTTCTGTCATTCCTCTATTATGATTATTTTTTGTGCTCATTAAATAAAATGTGTTTAATTAAGAACTGTGACATTAATAAATTAAAAGTATGTGTGTCAATAAAATTATTTTTAAAATTGTTGTTTTATTTAAAAATAATAAAGTTTTACGAATCTAATTTGTTTTATATTTTGTTTTAGTGTCTAATTCTAAGACTACTTCAAAACGGTATATTTTGTAACCAACTGTAAATACTAAGAAGTAAGAAGTAAGCAAAAAATTTGTTAATTTTTTGTTTCCCATGAAACCCGCTAAAAGAGAAAATTTGATTATTCTGATAAAGTATTTACTTGACATCATTATGGAAATGTACAATAAACGTTTGGTAAAGATAAAGAGGCCACTGGTTTTTCACTTTAAAAGTCTGAATCGGAAAAATGGACCAACCAGTTAATTTAATATACTCAATGAGAAATTTTACCTAAAAAATAGTATGTACATTTAAATAGTTTATAATTATCAATCATGTTATCCTGAAATCTTTTATTTTAATTACATTTTTTTATTGCCTTGTTTGTATAATTTAGTATTTTCAAAAATATTAGATGTATTGCTAATTTGGATGATGCAGGTAATAAATAAAAATAGGGCTGTGGGTAAATTAGTTTACAGTTGGTAATAAAGTATGTCTCGAAAAGAGCAATAAGTATTAAACATACATTTTGATTTTGATTAAACACTTAACAAGTCACATCCCACATATTTACATGCTCTGGGAATCAATCCTATAAGTACATATCAAAACATTAATATACTCTCTACAATTAAACAATAATTTAAAAATACAGATGAAGCCGAGTTACCTATTTAGACAAAATTACTATTATTCTATTATTTATTAAAACACATTATTTTTAGTAAACATATACATGCAAAAGTCTGTCATGAGGATAGGACAGTAGCGAGAGCAAGAATACTTTGGAATGTGCTGTGAAATATACTTAGAAAGGGTTATATGGAGAATTAAGTGTAATCACATTTTAAGGGGATTAGGACATCTGGACGTCGCCGTTTCGGCGTGGCCATTTCGGCGTGGCCTTTTGGACGACAGGCCATTTCGCCGTTGGCCGTTTCGGCGTCGGGAATACTATTTTTAGTATGTATGTTAAAACCGCTGTTTCATTATGAAATAAGTAAAGTATTGAAAATAAGTGAGGTATTGCATAGGAATGGAATAAATGCTTTAATCTGTTTTTCAGAATTATATTAGTAGTGTAATTAATATTAGTGTAATTAATATTTTATATGAACATTAGTTTAATAATAGTGAAGTAGGGAAATTGTTCCAAATTTGCAACCTAGAGTAATCTATTGCGATTTCGAACAGTCGTCATAAACGGTTGTTTTTTTCACTTGGCCCAAAATATAAGGACATACGAGAGAGTACAATGTTGATCCACAATTCTCTCTAAATTTCAGAATGGTGATATCTTTGGCATTTGTTCATACGATCATTTAGATTATGCCTTTGATGTTCTAGCGGAATACCTACCTACCGAACAGCAATAGTATATAGACATTTTATGTAAGTCTTCCTTTCGACACGAAAACACCCACTATGCATAAAAACGTTAAATTAATGAGAACTTTACATCACATTGTTACATTGTAACTCTCATTTTTACTCTTGTTTTCATCTATAGGATAGACTCATAACCGTCTAAGCCCAGAGTAGGGACGTTTACTTTTATGATGAAACAATGTAGACGTTGCGGTGATATTAAAAAGCTACTTTGTTACGTTATTAAACGTTACTGGAAGTTTCCAAAAATTATGTCGTTTTAACAAACCAGATGTGACATTCCTGTTATATCCAAGAAAGTTTTTTTTTTACTTCTGGTAGGTGTTATTATAAAGCCCATAAAATAAAATCATATAAATGAACTAAATGTGACGTTCATACCTTATGTTAATGAATATGATGTTAAAATTTAAACATCTAAGGGATATTTCAGCATTGTTTTAAAAATATATCAAGAAAATTTTCTATGAGAAACGTTACAAAAAAGACTGGTAATGTTTCATGTTTAATGGGCAGTTTTATTATTTAATTATAATAAACCTAATTATAATAAATATAACAATTATTTAAAATTTATAAAAATTATATTGTTAAGTTTGCCAAAACTTCCAACGCCGAAATGGCCAACGTTGAAATAGTCGGGGCCAAAATGGCCGGCGCCAAAATGGCCGACGGCGAAATAGCCACGCCGAAACGTCCCATTCCCCATTTTACGATGTGTATCTCATTATTTTAGTTCACAGATTTCTGTAAATGTTCAATTATGTGCTGCTATTTCAAACTTTTAGTAACTGTTTATTTTACCTTATACATTTTTTCTACTCTTTATTCAGTATTCTGTAAAGAGTAGTATAGGTTTACTTTGTCAGTCTGTCTGATGTCACGTTTGGTGTCTGCATGATAATTCAAAAACCAGAAATGATATCAACTTGAAAATTTTAAGCAAAAATCAAGTTTTATAAGGAGACAAAGCTTATTGATTTTTAACAAATCTGATTAACAAGTGTAAATTAAAAATTTAAAAAAACCGACTTCAAAAACGTGCAGATGCCATCACATCTTAACCAAATTTATATGGGATCACCCCGAGGTACCCCTTTACTAACAAAAAAAGAATCATATAAATCGAACAAGGTGGTAAAGCATTATCACTAAACATACATAAAAAATAAAGAGTTTGAGGATTTTCTCATGGACCCAATTTTTAAATTTTGACCAAATTTATATGGGACCACCCCTGAAGTAGCTCCTTTCTAACAAAAAAAGAATTATTGAAATCGGACACCGTGTTAAAGAATTATCGCTAAACACACATAAAAAAAAAATATCGCGACGAATTGATAAACTCCTCCTTTTTTGAAGTCGGTTAAAAAATAGGGGGTTAAGATGGGTTGAAATTAAAAAAAAATCCTAAATTAAAAACGAAAAGCGATATCAACATAAAATTTTTAGTAAAAAAGAAGCTTTATAAAG